CCACAAAGTACGTCATCAAGGAAAACATGACTGCAAGGAAACTCAAATGTGAGAATACAATAGCACTGAGAAAGAAAAGCAAAAATAAATGATATTGCCATGAAGCATAGGAAGTTCAGAGCTTGTAACAACACTTAGCATTCTTACTCCACGAGAAAGTACCATCTCAACGCCTGTAATCACGGTCCCTTTCTTGTGGCTCAGATGTATCTCGGTCATAATGATAACCTTCCTCATCCATTGGATCTTCTTTATAGCGGTCATAAACCCCCAGGCCTTCTGGATTGTCATAGTGTCCTCGACCTTGGTGTTCATAGTGGTCATAGTGCCCATGGTCATAACCAGCTTCTAGTTTTGGATGTCCATATCCGTAATCGGTCTGCTCGAGCCACCCACGGTTATCTTCAGTTTCTATGCGGTCATAGTTTCTCTCTCTCTCATCATGGTCTCGCTCATGTTTTGAATCAGTATGATCGTAATCATAATCTCTATCACGGGAACGCCCTCGATCGTGGTCATCACCATCTTCATAATCCCTTTCCCTGTCCCTCTCCTTCTCACGATGACGATCGCGGTCCCGATCACGATCACGACCTCGGTCTCGACCACGCTCTCGGTCTCGTGTTCGTTCTCGATCACGGTCCCGATCGCGACCATGATCTCTCTCCCTGTCTCTATCTCTGTCTCTGATTCTATCGCGGTCTCTGTGATGCCGATCATCTCTATGATCACGATCCCTTGGTTTGTCATGAGAGAGCTCACGAGACCTTTCACGGGATTTCTCCCTGTCCCTTCCCCTTTCACGGGATTTCTCCCTGTCCCTGAAACTTTGTGCGTCAGTCACCGACAATAAGATTTATAGGATGCGTGAATGCAAATGTGACTAAAATGATAAAATCCATATCCTCTTCCATTCATTAGAAGATTAGAACATGAGAAGATTTGATGACAAAGATATTTAAAGAGTTCCGTAACGTCTCTCTCAAATTTTCCTTATATTTTACAGTCCTTAAGAAGCAAGACATGAAATGCCTGAAAGAAGATAGATCACTTCGGATTACTTAGTTTATATGATGGAATGGCCAGAACACTTTTTGGAACTTTCATGCCCTTGAACAAGTTCAGAAGTTAGGGAAAAAAATATCAACCACAGCTTACAAGCAGCAAAATAAGTGTGTGGAATCAACAGACAAAAGTTACCTGTCTCGGTCATCTCTTATCCTTGGCTCCTCAGACCTAGATGTTCCTCTAGACTGTAATTGCTCTCTGTCCAATTGATAGATGAAATAATGTATAAATACATATAATATTCCAAATGGAAGGGTATTTGGTCACATAAAATGTAGAGAAATTTAGCAATGGAAGTAAATAAAATGACATGCCAAGTTCAATTAACCAAATAGCCATAAAGAACAGACACAGGCATCTCAAGAATTAATTGGATACAAGGCATCAACATCAAGTTAAATCCACGAAAAAGCCAATCAGATTTGGACAAGCAGATACAATAAAGTACAACACGACATTCAGTCAGCAAATGAAAGGATCTAAACAACAGGCAACAAGGAAAGATATCATAAACCCTAGAAACCACGTCCTTGGAACTGAACACTTAAAATGGCAAGCAAACACCATACAGCACAAGTATATCTTTTAATTTTCACACTGAGTTCAGAATTCTCTTTGCCGCAAATCTATTGGGAATAAGGCTCATTTTTTTGTTATTGGCGTTTGAGATTTCGTTTCACGTAAGCATTTCACCTAGAATCAGGTAACATAAGAGCACCTTGAAAAGTTTGCATAGTGGGAAGTACCCAAGGACTCTGATAGGACACCGTCCAACTTAGTATACCATATACAAGCAAAGGCTGAGGGCAGGAAAGGAAATTGCCAAAGGGGAAATCAACACACACATGGGTGGCTAACAGAAATGGTTGAAGTGATTGGTACAGAACATATTATAAACACGGGAAGCATGGGAAAAGAGAGGAGGGGAAAATTAGAAGTCAGTGGGAGAGCTTGGACCTCTCAAAAGTCCAATTATCTTTTCATCTTGTATTTCATGGCTTTTATAGAAAAGTTACCTAGCTTACAGATTAGCTTTCTGCCTTTAATTTCATTGTATCTTTTCACTGTTAGTGCAGCAATAAAAACCATAGTCTCGTTGTGCCACTGAATCCTGTTTCCATTCATAACTATTCTAATTCCTCATGTTCAACAGCCAATTGATACAGGAACCTAACAGACTCACAGATCACAATATTTGATAATTTACAACTAACCAAACATATTTATACATCTTTCTAAGGGAGCAAATAACAAGCAAAAATTTAGCCGATCACATATTATGAAAACGAGCTACCATTGGCACTCTTTTAAGGCATCTCAAACTCTACATTGTCCCACAAAGTTTCTCCCTCACCTACATTTTTATGCAATTTGGCATTCTATCCCATCTTGTTACTAGCCCTTGTATTAAAAACCAACCACCACTGAATTGCCCTGTCAAAGAAATGGACAAGCATAGCCTGAAG